TTCTTAGTGGAGTAAGATACATGTTAAAGTGGGGGAGGAATGTGGTATCACAGGTGTTTATGACACAAATGTAATCATCCTTCCAAAGAGTTCAAGCATGACAACTTCCTTGTGCAAAATAGGAAACTAAAGAAAAAGAGTAGAATGCAAATGGTAAGAAAAAACAAGTAGAGATTTAGACAGAATTTTTTTTTTTTTAATATGAGGAAGAAATGGGGAATAAGGACATTATTGCTATGGAACATAGCAATGGAATGTACTAATTGTGTGAAAAACTTATCATGGGGTAATCATAGATGTCTATGTCTGCTAAATTGGCAGGCAGCACAGTGTAGCCTGCAAAAACATCAGCTTTAGAGTTAGACAAACTTAGATTTAGACAATGGTTCCAACTCTTTAATCCCAACCAAGTTACTCAACCCTTAATTCTCAATAAGATACTACTTACCTTACTTGGTTGTAATAAGCATTAAAAGAGGTAATGAATGCAAAGCATCTATTTCAATGCTTGGCATATAGCTAGTAATTAACAAATGGAATTACCGTCAGAGTGCTAACAAAAAGTTAATGTAGGTGCTAAGATTTTTTTTAAGTAACAAAGGATAATAGAAAATTATGAATTTTGAAGGGAAAGCTCCTATACCACTCAGTACTATTAATAATGATCATGAGAAAAATTTAGAGGAAGATGCACTGGAAGAGATAGAAAGTTAGCTTTGGTATAATGAAAAAGGCCCTTGATTCACAAAACTGAGGTTTGAGAGTTGTGCCTCTATTTACAACATGTATGACCTTGAGTAAATCACATAACCTTACCTTTCATGTTAACAGTACAGGAATTATATTAAATGCCATTTTGAGTATGGCATCTGATTTTGAATATTAAATCCTCATAGTGTACATAAAATGCTCTAAGAACTATGAAGTCTTACATAAATATAAAATGGTGCTGAGGTAATTAGTAAGAGTTAATATTTATTGATTATTGAAGTCCATCACTAAAGCTGAAAAATTATTCTTTCAAAATAAAGTGAGATATTGAGTTACTAAATTTGAATGATAATGAGCAATTAGTGGATTGTGAGGACAGAATTAATGAGGGGAAAAATGTTCCCTAAATTGTGAGAGATTAGTATTAGCAACATATTTTTAATATGTTAATATGTTTTATTAATATGTTTTAATATGTTAATATGTTTAATAAATTAAAATTCTGGAGGAATTTTCATGATGTTTGTCCTACTGATTCAAATATTTTTTTATAATGCCTTTGGCAATACTTTAACAAGATTTGATTTTTGAATTTCTTCTGATATTTTACTTTGTCCCCATTAAATCAGTACACATATTGGATACTCCTGATTTGAATAATATAGGATTATATCATTTATACAATGTCTTGTTTCTTAAAAATTTCCAAATTATATAAAGCAAAATCAATCAGATGAAATCAGGTCAGGAGAAAAGTAGAAATCATATTAAGAAAAGCTACTCTATCAAGACCCTGGCTTTAGACAATAAGTGGGTTTTATTAATAATGATAATTTACATCAATAAGTTAAAATGTTATGTCTAAATGTTTCATCTATTGGAGATTTTTTTAAATTAGCTTTCTGTGTTGAACATGTGCCTATATACGGCGTGCAGTAATGTCACCAGACAAAAGAAACAAGAAAGGTCCTTCACAGCAATGACTGATACGCTGTTTGAAGGCCAACTGTCTTTTAAGCATGCAGATAGTCTTTATCACGTTATACTTCAGAAATATGTTTTCGGAGGTGGGAAACAATAGGCCATGATTTAATGTTTTCGTCACACCACTATAATTCTTTTAAAGCAATATGTATGACAACTATTTCTCTCTGTTGAAGAGAAAATAAAGTCCTTAAAAGATGGTTTTCCTATTTTGCAAGTGGGGAGGAAATGAAGAACACACTATTATTTTTGTGTAGTACGATATGATACGAAACATTTTGCATCGTAAAGCGAACTGTCGTTGTCGGGTCTTTAGTGGACAGCAGCAGACAGGAAGCTGTCTACACCCTCAGAGGCTTAGAGGCTGAGCCACTGAGTTGGACAGCAGGTGCCCAGGCCAGCCCAGGCAATTTTCTAACACAGAACAGCATGCTGCGGAACTTGTTCTATTAGTCTTTTTTCTCTATTAAGGAAGCAGGATTTTTCTTTGTGGAAGGAGTGCTGCTATTTAAAATTTGAGAAAAAAAAATGGTAAGGGATTTTGATAACAATTGACTGTTGTTAAAACAGCAAATTTTCTTTTAAAAATAGATTATCCACAGCTATAGGAAGAGGAATCTCAAGAATGCACACAATTAATAAAAGCTGGCTCTGAATTACCCACACAAACACGCACTCGTGTCCAGTAAGCAACTCATTATGCACACCATATCCTTTCTTTCCCAGAAGTAACCGCTAAGAAAAAAGTTTTTTAAATCAACAAAATAAAATCTGACTAAAATATTTTACACTTAGAGACCTTCAGAATTTTACTTCCTTTTGCTGTTGGAAAGTCACAGCAGCCAAGAGAAGTAACGTATTTTCTTTTATATTAACAAATGTCATGGTGGTTAAGAACAGGGTGAGAGTGCAGAGAAAGCAGTTGCCAAGAAAATGTTCAGGGCCTGCTGCAAAACCCACTGCAAGCCAAATATCCAGATACGATTCCAGATAGACAAGAACCACCTGTTACAGCAGAGAGAGGTTTTAAAAGATGAAATCAGGTGACCTGAAAGATAACTTTCCCAATTAAAATACAAATAACTAAAAGAACATATAGATACTTACATATCAAACACTTGTAAATGTAGTATTTCCCATATATTAAGTATAAGAAGACATAATTATTTATATATTTCTATAGTCAGTCAAAACAAAAATCTCCTGGAAGCAGGTCATTTATTATTGGTAATAGCAGTAACTACTTGAGCACATACTTAGTTCCTAACACAGAAAGAGTTAAGCAACGTGCTCAAGGTCACACGATTAGTGAAAGATGGAGTCGAGAGTCACTCAGGCCTGTCCACTCCAAACCCCATGCCTCCAACAACTGCAGCTGTGTGCACTCCATGTACTATGCCATGGTCATGGGAGAACTTGCCTCCTGGATTTGAAAAAGAAATCACAAGAAACTTTCCAGACAGCTTAAGTTTTAAAGTGCATTGACAACGGCCAAAACCTCAGTGACACATTGGGGTAGAACAAGAAAAGACAGAACTTTATTTTCACATGAAATGCTTAGGAGAAAATGAACAATTTTGCTTAAGCTATGCAAAAATCAGAAATCTGCGTCAACTTTGTTTCAAAATGAAACAAACAATGTATCTTTTGAGCATACTTTCTTCTTAGTAACAATGTGACACAAGAAAAGAGCCCCCCCCTTTTAAACACTTTTCAAAGAGGAAATATTCCAATTTCAAAAATTTAGGGCTTCATTTCTAAAAAAATTACAGACCAAAGGGGCAAAAGGTGGGTAGCACAACAGAACTAGTGTTGACTTAAAAGGATCGTGATCACAGTCAGTGATCACATAAAAGGTGTGCACAAAATACCTGTTTAAAATTTGAATGTCAGTAATGTGAGAACTTCGTACAGAGGAGGAAATGTTCCAGAAACCACATCTGACATAATATGATTCATATGGGTTTTGTTCTTCAACTCGTTTTCAATTAAAAAGCTGATGATTAGAAAAAGGAGCATGAAAAAGGGAAGTAAAACTACTGGGCACTAGAAAAGAAAAACTCCTGTCAATGGAAAAGCAGAGTTGTAGAGTCCCGAATTTGTCATTCGGAATTTAGCTCTTTAAGGATCAGTTTCTTCATTACTTAATTGCACGCGTGGAAATTCTTCAACATACAGACACTCACGGGAGGCAACTTAATCATTTGAAAGTGCAGGTTTATATTTTACCGGTAAGAAACTGACTCCCTCTCCCCGCCCGCGAGGCCCAGGTGAGGCTGCCCGGGCAGAGACTGGACTTGGCCAAGTCCCTAATCGATGGGTCTTCAAAAATGCGGGGACTTACAGCACTAAGGCCCGGCGAAACTGGGGAGAGCTTCAGCTGAGCGACATTAAAAGCGACAGAAAAGGGAGGCCACAGAGCGGGTCCAGTGCACCTTAGAGGCGAAGGGGGTGCGGGCCTGTGAGCAGAGGTGGGTGCGGGCAGAGTGTGGGGCCAGGCGCGAGCGGACGGGAAGGGCGGCGCGAGGGCGCGGACACCTGCGAGGCGGCGGGTGCGCGTGGCGGGGACCTGGAAGGGGGCGAGGCAGTGCGGTGCCCACAGAAAGTTTCACCGGGAAATCTGCGACCTCACACCCTTGTCCAAGCACTCACGCCACCGCTCCCTTCGCGTGCGTCCCGCGTCTGCCACCGGGAGTGAAGATCCAGCCGGGATCCCGGGGTCTAGGCCCTTCCCGGGGCTCGGTCTCCCCGCCCGGCGCGCGACGGGGCTCACGTCTCCCCCCAGCCCTTGCACTGCGGGGGGCAGCCCTGGCCTCCACCGCTAGCCTCCACCACGGGCCCCTGGGTGCCGCCGGCCTTTGTGCGGGGCACCCCGGGCGGGGGTCACTTCCCGGGAGCTGGGGCTCAGGGCTCTCGGGCGGCGGAGGCCTGGGAGGAACTGGGGGAGGCCGGGGCGGAACAGGAGGAGGCCGGGTGGAGGAGGAGGCCGGGCGGAGCTGGAGGAGGCTGGGGCGGAGGAGGAGGAGGAGGAGGAGGCCGGGCGGAGCTGGAGGAGGCTGGGGCGGAGGAGGAGGTCGGGAGGAGGAGGAGGAGCAGGAGGAGGCCGGGAGGAGGAGGAGCAGGAGGAGGCCGGGCGGAGGAGGAGGAGGAGGAGGCCGGGCGGAGGGAGGAGCGGAGGAGGAGGAGGAGGAGGCCGGCGAGGAGGAGGAGGAGGAGGAGAGGAGAGGAGGAGGAGGAGGCCGGGCGGAGGAGGAGGAGGAGGCGAGGAGACCCGGCGGCGCGCCCGGCCCGCCCGCATGCGAGTCACGTCGGCCCACCCGGCGGGCGGCGGGCGCGGAGGAGCGGACGTCAAGGTGCCTCCCGAGCACTGACGCGGCGGCGCGGAGACGCAAGATGGCTGCCCTGTAGGGTCCGCGGGAGGAGCCGGCTGCGACCGGACGCCGCGCGGCCGAGGACGGGACCCAGGTAGGGCGCCCTGCGCCGCGACCCTCCGCCCGCCCGCCTCTCCCGGCGCGGGCGCGGACCGCAGGCCGGGCACGGGGAGCCCGCGGGCGCCCGCAGCCTCAACATGGCTGACGGCGCAGCCAGCCGGCCCTGCGCCCGCGCCGGCCCCGCGCCCCGCGCCCGGCTCCCGCGCCGGCTCCCGCGCCCCGCGCCCGGGCCCGCGCCCCGCGCCCGCTCCCCGCGCCCTGCGCCCCGCGCCCGCCGGCCTCGCCCGCCCGGGGAGGCGCCTTCCTCTCCGCCCTGCCCGCGGGCGCCCGCGACCCTGCGCGCCCGCCGCGCCCGGATGAGCGCGGACGGCGCCCGCGAGCCTTTCTCTGCCGCGCGGTCGGGCTGGCGGCCGCCGCTCCTGCCCGGCCCGCCGAGGGGCGCCCGGGCGAGCGTCGCGGGAGCGGGACGGGACACGCCGCGCGGGGTCGTGCTTTCTTCGGAAGTCGCGCGCGTTTTGTTGGCGGCGCCGGGCGAGGGAGGAGAGTCGTTCCCCGGCCCCAGACAGGACCCGGACCCGGGCCCGGGCCCGCTGCCTCGGGTGCGCGAGCCGCGCCGCCGGCCGGGCCGCCGCGGAAGCGTGGCGAGTGCGCGTCCTGGCTTTGTGCCGCGCCGGGTCCGCCCGGCCCCCGGCGATGACAGGCAGACACAAAGGCGGGCGCAGGCCGGGAGGGGCGCGGGCGCAGCGCCGCGAGTTGCGGGACTGCAAGGTCAGGGGCGCCGCGAGAAACGAAGCCCAATCTCGGTGGCGGAGTGGAGGGCAGACTGGGAACAGTCCCGACCTAGCCTCGCCCCTCGTCCCCTCTCCCCTCCTTCTGGCCTCTGCCCGTCTCTCCGCGTCTCCAGTCTTTTCTCCTCTTCTGCCGGTCTCTCTCCCGTCTCTCCTCTCCCGCTCCGTGCGCGCACTGGCCACGTCCTGCTGACTCTTTTCACTGGGACTTCTCGTCTCATTTATTGTCTCATTTTATTAAGCTAGCGAGAGAGTTTTCTGCCTATGACAAAATAAAGTAAATGTGGCCTGGATAGACTCTTGGGAAGGTTGGATATAGAATGTAAGTGTTATTTGCGGGTCATTGCCCTCATAATATACTTTTCATTACATCGAGTGATATCCCCCCTCCCTCGTCTATGTTTAGGAATTGAAAAACGAGCTATTTTGAAGTTGTTTGCTTAAAATTTAGTGAAATATTTTTTTATATTTGTTTGTCTAAGGAGTAGAATACATCCATGAATTTAAAATCTCAAATCACACATTGTGCTTTTTCCTCTCCAGTCAGGGATTACAATAATGGCAAATCCAAAGCGAAAAATATTCAACACCAAATGATCCACTAGGAATAAGATTATATCTTAGGGGAAGTTGGGTTTCACAGAGAAAAGATATTAGTTTGGTTTGGTTTAAGACTATGGGTATTGTTTCCTGGCTAATGAAATCATTACATTTGCATTTTAATGGAAAGTTGAAATACTGAGGGGAGTTATATTCTTTTACAGGTTTGCATGTATATTTCATAATTATGTTGGGAACAACATAAATTTCAATACAATAAATACTGATTTTTAAAATGTTATTAAGCAGAGAAGTGTTAGTGAAGGATTGGTGATTCAAACTGAAGTTCAGGAGGCAATTGATAGAATTAAAAGATGGATAGAGAGAAAAGAATAATTATGGCATTCCTCCATAAATCAAATTTCCAAGACTGTTTACTCTCAGTAGGTCATTTTGTAGCTCTTTCTATTTTCATCTTTGGAAAAGCAGCTAAATTTGTTTTACTCATTGATACTAGAGGCTCTTTCACGTGATTACTCATCTCTGTGGAATAGAAACAGTTCATTGATTCTTATTTGCCCTAAAATAATAATAAAGAAACTACTTAGGATTTTACCATAAATGCTGTTTATAGTAAACTATTGACAAAAACTATGGTTAATTATTCCAGCAAATCAGAATTTAAAATACACAATTCCTTTTGCTAACAGGTTAGTATCTATCTTTTGGGGACAACTTTTCAAATGTTTTGATGTTTACTGTCTTCAAGCTATTCAACTAATAATAGATACAATATTTTCCACTCAGATTGATAAAACAAGATTACCCACAGTGGTTAATAACTTTAAATGTGATCATGAAGGCTTGTTCTTTTCTACCTTCAAATTTAAACTCTTGTTATTTTATGCATCCTACTTTTATGCTGAAAATAGCTGCTAATTAATATTATATGAGGGGTTTCAATGGTTACAAGGAGGAGATATGTGTATTACTCACCAGTCTGAATTAAAGTAACACTTTCTCCTTTGTTGGAAAAGAGAAATTGTTTGAAGAAGTATGGGATAAAGTTCACAATAAAAGAGAAAACCTCAGTTCCTAATTTACCATGTATATGATAGTAACACCTGGGAACTCCAAAAATCCCATAGAACTGTCTTGGATAATTGAATTTTAGGAGATTGATAATGGACAGTAACAGGGTAGATAGCTTTCCATAAACTATGCCATTGATTTGCTTATTTTCTTATTGAACTAATCATTAATGAGAAATTCACTTGGAATGAGGGAAGTCCCTTGCCTTGCTTAAATTCTCACATTTGCCAAACTCTTAAAGCTTTAATTAGATCTGGCTTTGGCTGGTTGGTGCCAGGAGCCGGAGGGATTGATGTGATTTTGACATAGTGCCACATGGTCCTAGACACTGGCAGGTCAGCATCATTTCCAGAACAAGTAAAATGCACCTGTCAAGGAGTTATGACAATTGCAGAGTCCTTATTGGGCACTGGACTTGCCTTAGGTAACAAAACTGGAGTTCATATTTTGGTTTCACTTGCTGAAGTTAGAATTTCTCTATCAATTCCTCCAAGACTGGACCCACCCACAATTTTGTAAGCCAAATGTCAGTATTGAAATGTATTTCCTTATTTGCTAACCTTGTTAAGAATCTCTTATGAATCACAGACACACCTCACAGAAACTTTATTTTCCAATCCTGCCCCAAATCCAAGTTAGTAAATTATGAAATTACCTTGACATAAAATGGCTTCAAAAGTTATGGATGTTTGACATTGTATAATGTCAATATTTTAGAATGTGTGATATTTAGAAATTATTAGATGTTATTTTATCCCTTTATTGCTTCTGATACAAGTTCAGTTAGTGGTGGTATTGTCTATGAATAGAATTTCATGCTCTTATCTAGTCATCTCAAATTGCTAGAGAGAATCTTTGTTTTGTAAATATCCGTGTAGATAGTTTTAATATAATTGTTGCCTGTTACAGGGACAAGCTAAAACTTTGGACTAGCTGTCAGTATTACATCAAAATAACACTTTCTCCATGATCTTGCCACTGTTGCACAATAGTTCTAGGGGTAGCAATGGCACCAAAGGCAGCAGCGGGCCAGTGTCTCCCAAGCCAACTTTACGATTGGAGCCTTAAGTGTGGGAGAGCCCAGTTGCCAAGTAGAGCTGGTTATTATCTTGGAAACGAGGCTGAAGAAAACAACCACAAGTGATTTTGCCAAATATACAGTATTTGCTTGGTCTAGATCTCTAATTTCTATTTAGACTCACTGACTCACTGACAAAACGGAGTGAATAATGTGGCATTATTGAAGGAGGTTATTCGTTACATCTATCGGTGTGGTGTGCAGCAGAAGGGAAGGGTCTCCGGGGGCAGAGGGAGAGTGGGAGTGTGTGAATCATTGCAACTGCAGTCCACAAATAATTCTGTATATGTGCTTATTTCCAGCATTATTTTGATCCTAGATTGTACGTTGCAGAGAATCACAGGCTTAAGTTGGGTATATAGTCTTTTCTCAATAAAATAGATTTTTGGATACCCATTCCAAAATAGGTAACCCATTTTTGGTTACCCATTCTATCAGTTTTGATTTTTGTTTTCTCCATTTGTCATGAAGTGTAGTTAAATGTGTCATGCTTGAAAAAGTAGATAGTAGGTGGGTTGTTGATATTTTTTGTAAAAATAAATTCAGTGACAATGTCAACCTATCTGTAATTTTTTAGAATTTAGAACTCAATGTTTTATGTTTGCTAAAGGTCATTATTCAAAACTGTCTTGAAATCACATTCTAAATAATGTCAGAATTAAAATAAGAGATGAATAAATTGAGATAGTGTTTTTGAAGGATAATTTAGGACATAAAATTAACCGGTTGCTTCACTAAAATTACTACAAATGTTTCTTGTAAATTAGATTTCTTTCTGTGTATTGGAAAGGAGGTGTTGATTTGTCTTGGTATTCTCTAGTAGAACCTATTCAGAGTTAAGATTTAGTGGATGACATAAAACTAGTGAAAAACCATGTCATTTAACTAGAAAATGTATAATCTATTCTCAATGCATAACAGAAAAGTAATGTAAAAAGTTTTGGTGATGGTGGTGATGGTAAGGTGCTTTTTCCTTAAATGTAACTTCTGCAGACCATGACAGCTCCCCTGTAGAATACAGCCATTATGAGCATAAAGTTGAATGGTTTTTAGTAAATTATACTGGGATCACATTTTTAAAAATCATTTCAAAAGTTTTATTAATAGCATTTGCAAAATCAAAACACATGATAAAAGCTCAAAACAATACACATTGAAAAGTGTGCATCTCAACATGATGAAGTGGGATAACATTATACTCAACAGTGAAACACACAAGGTTTTTTCTCTGCTATTAGGAACAGGACAAGGAAGCTCAATCTGATCACTTTTAATCAGCGTAGTATTGGAATTAGGTAAGGAAAAAAAAACATTCAAATCAAAAATAGAGAAGTAAAATTGTCTCTGCACATGAGATGATATTATATATAAAAACCCCTAAAGACTATGGGATCCGATTTTTAACTGAAAAATTTTTGAGATATAGATTCAAATGCACTGGTATGAAGTAGTACAGAGAAATTTCATGTACATACTGCTCAGTTTCCTCCAGGGCCAACATTTTGCAAAACTGTAGTGTAATATCACAACCAGGAT